CCCACCCCAAAAAAAAAAAGAAAAGCCCAAATGAGAATCTTTGGCACAGATTATCAGTGTAACAACCATCTTTTGTCACATGGCAAGAACGTGTATCGTTTTTTAAAGACACTTTCCCCGGTGCCCATAGTGTGCAGCGGTGTCTGATGGAAACTTGAATGTTCTTCTCAATCTTCAACACAGCAGCTTGGGAGTCTAACCCTGGGAAGATTGCCACCTCCAGGTGGGGCACGGAGATTTCCGGGATTTACCCAGGAGTCGGAGATCAGTTGTCCTGGAGGAAATGGCTGCGTTGGAGAGTGAGCTCGACAGCATTGCGTCCTGCAGAACTCCTGGTAGACAGCCAGTCTGGTAGAGAGCCTGTTTGGTGTCGTGGTGAGGAGCGCGGACTCTAATCTGGGAGAACCGGGTTTGATTCCCCACTCCTCTACGTGCAGCTGCTGGTGTGACCTTGGGTGAGTCACAAGTTCTCTCAGAGCTGTTCTCTCACGAGCAGTCCTCGCAAGAGCTCTCTCAGCCCCACCTACCCCACAGGGGTGTCTGTTGTGGGGAGGCGAAGGGAAGGGGATTGTAAACCACTCTGAGACTCCAAGTGAAGGGGAGGGTATAAATCATAAGAACATAAGAGATGCCAATGTTGGATCAGGCCAAAGGCCCATCCAGTCCAATACTCTGTCACACAGTGGCCAGAAATAGTGCCATCAGAAGGTCCACCAGTGGGGCCAGGACACCAGACGCCATCCCACTGTTCACCCCCCCAGCCACCAAGAAGACAGAGCATCACTTGCCCCAGAGTCCCTATCTATACCTTGTGGCTAATAGCCACTGATGGACCTCTGCTCCATGTGCTTATCTAATTCCCTTTTGAAGCCGTCCATGCTTGTAGCCGCCACCACCTCCTGTGGCAGTGAATTCCATGTGTTAATCCAATCTCCTCCTCCCTCCTTCCTCCTTCCTCTTCCTCTTCTTCTTAAGGTTAGACCCGTTTATTGTACATAGAATCTTTTTGGAGTTCTTGGTTACTGTGATATTTCCTGCCAACGAAAGTGATCTGTGAACTGCATTGCGTGAACCCAGTTTCAACAAGATGCTGTATCCAGCCCCACTGGAGGGTGCTTCTGCTTTAGCTAGTATCATGTCAACCAGGCCTTAAGTACTGGGCGGTTCTCTCACCTGCGTGGTCAGCGCCGTTCTCTCTAACTAGCACTTCCCTCCTTTATACGTGAATCCCGTGGCCAGCCCTATCATGTCCAGTCCGGCCCCATGTTTTCGCCGGAACTCAATGCTGTGCGTAGCGGGACGGCTGGCTCTCTCCATCGAGCCTCAGCGCATGGTGTGCACTCAGGCCACTTCTTGCGAAACAGTCGGGTGGGGGATATTGAGGTTAACTGGTGTGGTTAGTCTAGTTCAGGGGTCATTTCCTGCAGGAGTGCACAGGAGCGGAGCTCCGGCAGTAAAGAGGCCAGGGGGCGTGCACATGCCACAAGCCCCACCCCCTGCTCCCAGCAGCCCTCAGTCAGAGCAAGAAGCAGCCAGGTAAGCTGCAGAGCTCCCCCCAGTCCAAAACAGTCCAGTGGCACCTTTAAGACCAAGTTTTATTCAGGTACAAGCTCTCCCTCCTCTGTGAGGACAGATCTGCATCTTCCCCCGCCCCCCGATAGCTAGCAATCCAAAACAGTCCAGTGCAGCCTGAGCGGTGGGTGTTGCCTTCTGACACACTTCTGGTGATGTCAGGGGGTGTGGTGTATGCAAATAAGTTATGCTAATGTGTTATGCTAATTGCTAATGAGCTCCTGCACCTGTTTTTCTACGAAATGACCCCTGGTCTAGTTCAATGCTCCCTCTAAGCTGTGGAGTCTTCTGAGCAAAAATTCTACTTTGTGGTCTACTGGCATTGAAGTTCTGAGCGAGCGAGTTGACTACTGCATAAATTAGTGTGCTCTGGAGGCATCCTTCCTGATCTATGACAAAGTTGTGTGAGCTGGGGGCTAAAAAACTGTGAGCTAGCTCACACTCATTCAGCTTAGAGGGAACACTGGTCTAGTTCCCACTAGTTAGCAGAGTTAAATAAAGCTACAG